ATTTCTGGTAAACAATACTAAAAAAGTTGTTTTTGTAAAAGTTCGGTTAACCGACCGAACCCACCGAATAATCGGTTCGGTTATACTTCGGTTTTAAGCACATCGGTCGGTCAGTTCGTTTTTAACAAATCTAAATCGATTTTTTTTTTTAAAAAAAAAATCCTTAGAAATCTCAATTGAATACACCTCTTACAAATAATTCAATCTCATGTTTCTTTTACCCAAGTATCCGACCCGGTGTCTAAAATTTTACCCAAACCAATCTGAAAGTTTTGATGATTCTGTGATAAAAAATGCGGGTAACGTTTTATTGACAGCTCTAATTGGAATTACCAAAGCACCAAATTGTCCACTCCAATGGCAGCATTCTCCCATTACTCCCCCAACTCCGACCTCCAAATTCCGATCAAAATGTAGATAAACCCTTTGCAATCTCGTATGGTGAATCCGAGATTTTTTTAAAGAATCACAGAGTTGCGAGAAAGGGAGGAAAATCGAGGGTGATAAATGGGGAATAAGATAGCGCGAACGACGCAGGCATCGGCCACGGAGTACTATCTTCATGATTTGCCGTCGTCGTACAACTTGGTGCTGAAGGAAGTTTTAGGGAGAGACCGTTTTCTAAAGTCCATACTCTGCAAGCACGATGAGGGCTTGGTGCTCGTTAAGGTCTACTTCAAGCGTGGCGACTCCATTGATCTGCGCGACTACGAGCGCAAGCTTGCCAGCATTCGCCAAATTTTTTCACACCTCGATTATCCCCACGTTTGGCCCTTCCAGGTTAGTTAAACCTTTTTCACTCACTGGGATTCAATTTTTATGCCCCTTATGTTTGTTTTGATCATGATGAAGGTTCTTGTGACTAGTTATAGGTGCTTACATCTTTCTTTAACTTTTTTTTTTTTCTTTTTTTTTTAGTTGTTGTTGATAAATTAGAAGTTTTGACATGCTGCATATTTCGTTCCTTCTTCTCCTTTCTGCTTTTAAAAATTACCTGTAGAAGCTTTAAGCTGCTCTGGTGTCAGGAATTGTTTATGTGATTTGAAGCCGATTGGATTTGGTTAGTCTAATTTGTGGGTTTAAGCCTTTTCATGGTGTGGACATTGGAATGGAATTCTAATGATTCAGTCTATGGGGTTTACTATTGCTCTTTATTCTGGATGTGGCTATTGCAAAACAATAAATGGGTATAAGATTCAACTTTCTACAGATCAGATGCTGGAAACTCTTGATGGAGTCTATTATGAATCTGGGATGTGGTGTGGAATTGTGGATGCTTGAATAGATAGGCACATGCATGGTAATTTGAGTTCGGCATATTCATTGATTGGACATGGTTGTCAAAATTGCAAGGTGGATAGTATATGTTGTAGAACACTTATATGCCAGTTCAGAAACACTTCATTACAATTTCCTACTCAGGCGTCAATACCATGCTATAAGGTTAATGAATTGGATTGAATGAACTGGCTGCTAGTAATGGAATTTTTGGAAACTTTAATTTGCAATCATATCGCGCTGTTCTTATTTGTCCTTGTGATAATAAAACCACATCATACGTTTGCAGATTAGGTTGCAGACATTAGGTAGTTGAAATGGTTCACAAAGTGATTTTGGGGTACATATGATCAGTTGACAATTCTAAGAGAATAATAACAATAATTATAAATATCTGCTGAATTTCCTCTGTCATAATTAGCATTCAGACAAGGTACTATAAAAGGGCATGATTTTAGGTGTTGGTTTCTCTCAAAGGATATTAAAACTTTACAAACGCCAACCCAAGTCCAAGTAAAGTTTATAAAAACTTTAGTCAGCAAGGTCAATGGTCTTTATTGTCATAAGAGTGCATAAATAAATGTTTATGGCTTTGTAGAACATGCAGGATAATTGACACGGAATTTTGAGGTTTATGAAAGGTTTAAAATAAGGTTTAAATTAATTTGTCCAATTGATTATTAAAGTCCTCAATGATGGGGGTTTTATAAGGATATTGTTACTCTAGACTGTCAAATTATGTCCAAATGGTAGGAGTGTTATACTATATATTATACTGTTAGTGTTAGTGTAGATTGTCGGTCGATATCTTGATATTAAAGGATTAATGAGATGGGTCTACGTTGCTGGGATGATTGGCATAATAATTCATTTGTATATAGTGAAGTTTTTAATGATGATTTGATTGTTTATACAGAGAGATGAGAGACAATTATTTGTTAGTTTAAACTGGGTAGGTAAATAAATTACTGTTTGTGTGAGAATCTGCTAGGATTGGTGTGATTAAGAAAATTGAACTTCCAGGTCATGAAAAAAATGTGAACTTTGGAGTTACAATCGCGTCCCATGATTAAAAAAGTATTGCTATGCAGATTCACAGGAATCCTGGGTTCTGCCTATGGTATTGAAGGAATTACTAAACTAGAGAAACATAATTTTCTTAAGTTGTTCTCAAATATCTAACTTAGATTTCTCTAGGGGAGGTGGTTCTGTCCTATTTTCTTGAGTCTTAAAGTTCATTTGATTTTATTACTATTTTTGCGCAAAGAGATACACATATGCCTTTTTGTGTTATTTTGGCAGTTTTGGCTTGAAACGGATAAAGCTGCTTATTTGTTGAGGCAGTATTTTTTTAACAATCTTCATGATCGGTTGAGCACTCGACCTTTCCTCGGTCTAGTTGAAAAGAAATGGCTAGCTTTTCAGGTTCCTCTCTACTTCTATCTTTGAAATCTTGTCGCAATTGTAAATTGTAATATGCAACCAAAACGATGGCAATGGAATCATACCTAATGCATTTTGCAGTTGCTTTATGCCGTGAAGCAGAGCCATGAGCATGGGATATGTCATGGTAAGATGAAGCATTACATTCATTTCAGGTTTCTGACTTTCTGTTGTGTTCTTTCCTTAATCCTTGAGAAGACATAATTTATTATAGGTGATATTAAATGTGAGAATGTGCTGGTCACTTCCTGGAATTGGCTCTATCTTGCTGATTTTGCATCATTTAAGCCCACTTATATCCCATATGACGATCCCTCTGATTTTTCATTCTTCTTTGATACTGGTGGAAGAAGGCGCTGTTATGTCGCACCTGAGGTATGCGTTCTCAATTTAATGATAGATTCACTTGGTCCTTACAGCCTACTACTTTTTAGATGCATTATGCATTAGCCATAGTTGATAGGATATATCCATTGAATGATGATACGGATGGAAAATGTTTTGAACTGCAATTTTGATATCCGCTTGGTATACTCATTATTTTGTGGCTTTTTTATATTTATGCATAGATAGTAGTACTTGCTAGTTTATACAATTTTGTTAACAGATGCCTGTTAGACATCTACTAATGGATCAATAATTCTATATCACAAACAATTTCCGGTCATACTGCCAAATCTCATAATCATCGTACACAAATTTCTTAAGCAAAATACCTAATTACTGAAGCTTTCATTATAGTCAAGATCTCATATATGAGTTTGACTTTTCTCTACAAAGATAATCATAGGTTGCTACCCTCTCCTCACTTCTAAGCTTATTAAGATATAGTAGTGATTGGATGTTATGTTTCTACTACACAAAGAAATTAGTGTGTGTGAGGCTGCTTCTCTACATTCTCTTAAAACTTTCAGGTGAAATATGATGGAATTTGAATAAAAAGATGTATATTTTTCAGAGGTTTTATGAACATGGAGGTGAGACGCAGGTGGCACAAGATGCACTTCTGAAGCCCTCAATGGACATCTTTGCTGTAGGGTGAGTGTTTTCCAAAATAATTATATTACCTTGAACTGAAGTCTCATGAAGTTATGGTTGTAATGTTGATTGATGGGCTAGCATGATTGACTACTGAGCTTCTATTAACAGTAAGTGCTGCAAACTTTTTTCATTAAATTCATTGTTTACACTTGCAGTTGTTGGCCACTTTTGGCCAGCTCTTTGTGTTTTACTGGAATAAGGAGGAAAAGGCCTAGACAATTATCTTTCTGTTTTTGTCATGCATTTAATTTATGGAAGTCATTCGTTCTTTGATTTAATATTCGTTTTGGGTTGTGGGATCAAAAAATTGAAAATGCTTATGAAGACATGCACTAAAACTTAAGATTGCTCATTATCTACTTATAACACTTTATGTCACAACATTGTGTATTAATTATNTTTAAAATGATTTTTTTTCCTTTTTTCCTTTTGTTCTTTCAGGGGGTATCACAGAATTAATTTTCACGGGCTTTTATTTTTTTAAGCTTCAGGATATATTTTTTAAATATCTTGAGTTGGACTATAAATATACAATATGTTTACTGCTTTTGCATAGCTTGGAAAGTTGCATTTTTTGTGGCTTTTTTTTTTCAGTCGTGCATCCGGATTCATGAGTTTTACTACTGTCTGTTTCAGGTGTGTGATTGCTGAGCTTTTTCTTGAAGGCCAACCATTGTTTGAGCTCTCTCAATTGCTTGCATATCGAAGAGGACAATACGATCCTACCCAGCATCTGGAAAAGGTAGCTTCTTTTGCAGGAGATTTCGTTTTTCTTTTGTTCTTTTCCTTTTATGGATAAAAAATTGGCATATATAATAATAATAATAATAATAATAATAATAATAATAATAATAATAATAATAATAATAATAATAATAATAATTCTGTAGTGGCTCTACTTGGTTGGACATTTGATTTTTTTAGGTTCACCCTTCGTAGTCATTCTATTAAGTGGAATTGCTGAAGTGGCATGAAAAAGGAAATGAAAGATGGTGACTAGATGCTGAGGGCAAACTTCTTTTTTAGTTTTATAAGTGATCCTATTTTATGTTTTGGACGTGATTTGGACATTTAGTCTGGTGGCGTAGCAAAATGGGGAGAAATGATGAGCATGACATATTGCGAAATGGAAGAAACAATCACGAGGAATGTGAAACAGATAAAATTGTGACTCTGGAAATTTTGTAAAATTGTTACAAAAAATCGTAAAACTAATTGAATGCCAATAAAAATGGGTAAAGATCTTAGATTGTTTTTACGTAGTTCAAGTTATACTAGGAAATCAAATAACCATTTAAAATATGTAAAAACAATGGAGATATATATTTGAAGAGAACAGTGTAATTGGCAATATTAGATCGAAAAAATTTCGATAGAGTTAGCATTACCACAACAGGCAGCTCTCGTTACCTATGATAGCTCAATAGGTAATATTATCTCTAAACCTTTTTCAAATGTTACTCACAATTTTTTTGATTTTATTCCATTCAAGTTTTATTCTTTACATTTTTAACTAATTGTCAGGTTGTCTGAGATAATTACAGGTTTTTGGATGGATTTTCATATTTTAATAGTCTTCCAGATGTTCCTCCTTTGGGTTATGTGATTTGCTCATTGTCCCCCAATTTGTCACGTCACAGAAATTAATGACCTAGTCTATGGTAAGAGACTGGTTTCAAAGTCAGGAAAGAATTTGAACCAAAAATTAACGTAGGATCACTTATCGCGTAAAATAAATTTTCCTTCAGGCGCCCGTCAGCACTTTTTGTTTCTGTGTCTGGATGATTTGCTATGTCACGTGCGACAGCCGGTCTAGACTGAATCTCGGAACTGTATCCACATGATAAACAGATTTTACAGTGAGGACATAAAATGATCAAATGTCCGAATATTGCTACTTACCGGACTTGAATAATGATTTTACCAATAAAACTTTCCATCTGGTTTTTAGTTCGTCTCTTATCTCTATCTCTGGTTCCCTTTAGTATGCAGTTCTGCAAATACTACCTCATATTATAGTGAGATCACCGAAAACCAGTTATTTTCATCGAAGCTCTGGTTTCATTTAAATTCACCTCTCTGTTAGTCACTTTCTCATGTTTTTGACTACAGATTCCAGATTCGGGAATCCGTAAGATGATACTCCATATGATTCAACTTGATCCGGAGTCGAGATGCTCTGCTGAGAGCTACCTGCAGAATTATGCTGGTGACGTGTTTCCAAGATACTTCTCACCGTTTCTTCATAAGTTCTATTCCCTGCTAAATCCTCTGAGTTCTGATGCGCGGGTAAGGACTTGGATTAACTTATTTCTATTTTGTGGCGAATCACTTGGTTTGCAATTAATGTATCACTATTACAGGTTCTAGCATGCGAGACCTCTTTCCAAGAAATACATAGACAAATGATGGGGAATAAGGCCGGCGAGGACATGATTTCTGAACCAGAATCTTCTTCTGATGATAAAAGGACATCCCCACAAACAACTAATGCGAAACAACAATATGGTAGAGCAGGTATATTTTTGAGCGAAAGAAATGAAAACCGCCCTGATTTTCTTGGAAACGTGAATGCTCTCTTAATGGATGTGAAAGAAAACAATGGGAGTCATGGTACTAAGTCTGAGCGAGATAGTGAGGTGAAGACTGCATATTCTCAAAATCAGAAGCACAGTGGGTTTCAGTCTCCTGGTGAGCTGATTCAAAGTATCTCCAACATATTCCAGCGAAGTCACCATCCATTCTTAAAGAAGATCTCAATGACTGATTTGAGCTCATTGATATCAGATTTCAACAACCAGTCGGACACCTTCGGCATGCCCTTTTTACCAGTACCTCTGGATATCTTGAGTTGCGAGGGTATGGTTTTGATAGCCTCACTTCTTTGTTCTTGCATTCGTAATGTGAAGGTTCCCTTTATTAGGAGGGCTGCTGTGCTCTTGCTTAAATCCTGCTCTTTGTATATTGATGATGAAGATCGACTGCAACGCATCCTTCCTTATGTTATAGCTGTTCTTTCAGATCCAGCTGCCATTGTCCGTTGTGCAGCATTAGAGACTTTGTGTGATATTCTTCCTCTAGTCAGAGATTTTCCTCCTAGTGATGCCAAAATTTTTCCCGAGTATATTCTTCCTATGCTTTCAATGCTTCCTGATGATTCTGAAGAGAGTGTGAGGATTTGCTATGCCAGTAATGTGTCCAAGTTGGCATTGACTGCTTATGGGTTCTTAATCCACTCAATAAGCTTGACTGAGGCAGGAGTTCTCAATGAGATTAATTTATTGCGGAAGTCATCAAAACAGGCAACAGATATATCTGGAGAGCCACAGAAGGTGAATAATGATGCACAGCTTGCACAACTTAGGAAATCCATTGCAGAGGTTATTCAAGAACTTGTGATGGGTCCAAAGCAAACACCAAACATAAGGAGGGCACTCCTGCAGGATATTGGCAACCTTTGTTGGTTTTTCGGGCAAAAACAGAGCAACGATTTTTTACTGCCTATCCTCCCTGCTTTTCTGAATGATCGTGATGAGCAGCTCAAATCTGTATTTTATGGGCAAATAGTATATGTTTGTTTTTTTGTGGGCCAACGCAGTGTGGAGGAGTACCTGTTACCTTACATTGAGCAGGCACTAAATGACATCACCGAGTCCGTCATTGTCAATGCCTTAGATTGCTTGGTCATTCTGTGCAGAAATGGTTTCCTGCGGAAACGGATCCTTCTTGAGATGATTGAACGTACTTTTCCTTTGCTATGCTATCCCAGCAAATGGGTAAGGAGGTCAGCCGTCTCTTTTATTGCAGCTAGTAGTGAGAACTTAGGTGCTGTGGATTCGTATGTATTTCTTGTGCCACTTATACGCCCATTCTTGCGTAGACAACCAGCATCATTGGCCACAGAAAAATCTCTAATTGGGTGTCTAAAGCCACCTGTCTCAAGAGAACTATATCATCAAGTTTTAGAAAATGCAAGAAGTTCAGACATGCTAGAGAGGCAGAGAAAGATTTGGTACAATACGTCATCACAATCCAAAAATTTTGAAGCTGTAGACTTGCTTCAGAAAACTGCCAGGGAATTGGATCCAATGAAATGTTTGTCAGACAGACAAAATGATATTCAACATCACAACTTTACGACTACTTCTGGTGAATACATGGATTTTGCTAATACTGATGATAATGAGGGAAAGCTCAAAGCTATGAGAAACTTCACACAAAATGTGTTGAATCCAGAGGAAGTCCATGATCGTATTGCCTCAGAAAAATCTCAACTGTCTGGATTTATATCGCCTCAAATGAGTTGCATGAACAGCTTTATTGATAAATCCTCAGAAAGCATACCCTTGTACTACTTTAAGGTTGACAACAAGAGAACATTAGGAACTGCCTCAGCTGCGTCTGATTCTTCATTACCATATAGTTCCTTAGGTTTTAGCACTTCCTCCCTGCCTTGGGTTGATCCAGTCAACAAATCATTCAGTTTAGCAAGTTCAATACCGGCTCCTAAGGTGGTCTCAGGATCAACCTATGTTGGAAATGGCCCTGCATTATTGAGGAGAGTTGTGCATGAAGTAGAAGACCGAGAGACTGACGAAACAGCTCATATTAGCAGCAAATTTCATGAGATGGGAATTTCTGATAGAACGAGAGGAAGTCCTCTCACAATGGGTGATCATTCCTCATCAGGCGAGTCAACAGAACTTTCATCATTAGCATGGTCATCAACTGTTCCTGATTCTGGGTGGAGGCCAAGAGGGGTGTTGGTTGCACACCTCCAGGAGCACCGTTCTGCTGTAAATGATATTTCCATCTCCATGGACCAACAATTTTTTGTTAGTGCTTCTGAAGATTCAACTGTAAAGATCTGGGATTGCAAGAGGTTGGAGAAGGACATATCATTCAGGTCTAGGCTAACCTATTCTCTGGGTGGGAGTCGAGCAATGTGTGCTGCAGTGCTTCAAGGTTCTACGCAAATTGTTGTTGGGTCAAGTGATGGGGCGATGCACATGTTTTCTGTTGATCACATCTCTAGAGGACTTGGGAATGTTGTTGAAAATTATTCTGGTATTACTGATGTGAAGAAGATTGGTTCCGGAGAAGGTGCTATACTAAGTCTTTTGAGCTTCTCTGCCGATGGAGGAACCGGCAAAATGATCCTATACAGCACGCAAAATTGTGGAATCAATGTATGGGATACAAGAACAAGTTCAAATGGTAGGAACACAAAAGTTTGTCCTGAGGAGGGTTATATATCTTCACTGGTGGCCGATCCTTGTGGTAATTGGTTCGTATCTGGATCATCAAGGGGTGTGCTTACTCTATGGGATCTCAGATTCTGCATTCCTGTCAACTCCTGGCAATATTCGCCTGCATGCCCAATCGAGAAGATGTGTCTTTTTGTTCCTCCTGCTGGCACTCCCTTGTCTGTTGCTACAAGACCTCTTGTTTATGTTGCAGCTGGGTGTAATGAAGTTTCCCTTTGGAATGCAGAAAATGGGAGCTGTCACCAGGTACTTACAAAATGATTTGGGCCTTTTTCCCATTTATTAGTTAGTGTATGGACTATGATATCTTCTCCTTGGCATGTTTGTCATATAGATTGTGTTTTTATTAGTTTTGTTCATTCTTTACATAAGCTGAAAGCTATTTTCTTAGTTTTTGTTTGAGTGGAAGCAAATACAACTGCTATATTGTTGTTTTAGAGAACGAATTCTAATTTTAATAATTTGTGAACTGTGAAGGTGTTGATTGATTATTTTGTTTTGTGCTAAATTTAAAGAACAAAAAGAATCGCACATTTCAGGTGAAGTGATACTTATCAAACTGGTTGTTTCTCGGGAGCTGTTGGAGCACCCACATTGGTTGAGCATATGAACATAAATCACACTTCCTTTCTTCCATATCATCTGCACATCAAGACTCATGAAACACCCCCTATTCAATCAAGCTCACATTCATTAATGTATTTGAATTCATTATATGAATACCCTGTTGTCCATACATTCAACTTTAGTTACATGCATTATACACATCTGTTTTGCTCTTTGTTTGGTCCACCTTTTCATTTAAATTACCCACACCATATTAGTTTTAATTGGTGACCGGACATTTAAATGCTTATGCACCAATTAAAAACCAATAGGATGGTTAACTATTCTCTGAACATCGATATCTCAAGAAGTCAAATTACATCTGGAAATTAATAACTAGCATTCCTAATGTTTCATGGTGGTTCTTGCTTTGCAGGTATTAAGGGCAACAAACCACGAGTCTGACTCTGACAATTGTGAGTTTCCATGGGCCTTGGCCAGACCATCTAATAAGATTAATGCTAAATCGGACCCAAGGAGAAACATCAGTTCTAAGTACAGGATTGATGAGCTGAATGAACCCACACCTCGTGTTCCTGGTATCCGTGCCTTGCTTCCATTACCTGGTGGAGATCTGCTGACTGGTGGAACTGACTTGAAAATACGTCGTTGGGATCATTGCAGGTAATCATCATTTTCGCTCTTCTTTGTTCTTTTCATGTTTCTTTGTTGTTTTTCTTATGTTTAATTTGCTGATATCCATGGTTCCCACTCTTGTATGCAGCCCTGACCGGAGCTATTGTGTATGTGGGCCATCTATTAAAGGCATCACAAATGATGATTTCTATGAGACAACGTCTAGCTTCGGGGTGCAAGTTGTGCAGGTAAACTCTCTTCCTAGGTTAGCTTCTGGTACACTATATAGAGTCGAGGGTTTATGGATGTTAAAAACCAAAATGAAGTATATTTTATTCAGTTAAACTATAAAAATGAAAAATAACAGTCTTCCGTTTGTCGTAAGTGCCAGTGCTCAGTCTTGTGTCGTAAGTGCTAATGCTGAATTTCCACATGAACTTCTAAAGAAAATATCTGCCACCTACTCCTCTAATGATCTTTTGATGCCGTAAAAACTTAATTCTTACCATTTAGAGTTTAGACAAAAACAAACTAGGGTTTCAGAATTAAAAGCCCTTCCCACCACTTTATACTGAACTTGCATAACCAAACATAAATAACTTAATTAAAATCTGAATTTTCAAGATGGATAGATATCAAGGACGATATACAATAGTTGTTTTCATTATTGTACATGGTGGTGTAGTAAATAGTGATAAGAGTCTGGACAACTGGATTTTTGCAAGGCATGTTACCCATTCATTACCCAATAGGTGAGGCATCAGAGTTTCTAAAGACTAAATCGAAACAGGCGAAACATTAAAACAAAATAAAGTTGGTTGGACGGCATAGCAGATATTTACTGTCAGGGGAAGTCACACAAATGAGAGGAGCATGCTTCATGGTAGATCACTAGTTGAGACTTATGAGGAAAGCCCCATGTCTTTTATGATCCTTATGATATAATATAAGTCAACAAGCATGTCCACGATTGATTATGAAATTCATTCTTGAGTTCCAGTTTTGCCTTAAAGAAGTCTGCCATAACATTGTAGTTTGTGAAGATATATATTATGATGGTTGTTTTTGGCTGCGGACATAGAGACTTGTGTTGTGCCAGGGTATGTGTCAGTTTCCCTGCTTCCATGACTGATTGGGGTTTCTGTTCTCATGTGTGCTCGAATTTTTGTTAATGGCAAAATGTGGACTTGATACCTAGTTGTTTCTTATACATCTTTGCCCATTTATTTTGAGAAATCTAGGGTGCGTTTGGATTAGGACTCTGGGCTGTTTGGCAGAATATATCCTAAAGCAATTAATTTTAGGGAAGCATCAGCAGTTCATCAGCAATCTCAAGTTGGGAGTTTCTTCTTCGTCGATGAACTAATCTAATCTTACTGTATTTTTAATATTTATTTTTGCATTAATCAACAGGGGTTTCTTTCAGTACATTGGTTACACATCATATCTACATGATATTTGTAGTTCTGTACATCTATTGCGAATAATTTGCTTACACGATATGCTTACGATTTCATCAGACGATAATGATCGTATATAAGTGTACAATGTTCTATTAAATTGGAGAGAGAGGGAGGGAGGGAGCTGGTTACTGTTTGTCGGAAGTCATATGTTGGCAAGAATAATAATTTGGACTTTTATAAGGCTTGGATTTATTTGAAGTTTGATGAGCTAAAAGAATGGAAGGATATCAATATAGAATATCTTATGTTGGGTTTTGGGATCTTAATTGGTGCTTCTTCTTGGGCACATCGACTGATGTTTTATTTGTTGTATGCTATTATTTTCTTACCCTTCTATTTCTTATTACGATCTTATATTAGCTACAGTGTAGTGTATAAGAGTGTCGTCAATAGGATAAGCACAAGAGATTTATTTTGTAATAGCATTGGCTTTTGGGCAATTTATTCTTACTGGGCACAGAACCTAGAGAAGTTTTATACTTCTTGTTCATCCCCTATTATGATGTCGTCAATAAAATTACGTATTTCTTGTTCTTGATTCGTTACTCCTAACAACTGTATAAGAGTTGTTCAAATTCTTTGTTGGTACACCTTTAGGTGGTCACTTTTTGTTTATTAATTAGTGAAATGACAAATGAATCATGGATGTACTCTGCATAATTGGATTTTCATTGAAAAATGCGCTTTCTTTCATCTTTTATACTGGAGATAGAAATAAGTTCTTATTATAACTGGGACAAGTTATTAATTTGTTTATTTTATCTTAGGCTGATGAAAACATTATTTATTTATTTATCTTTATATTTTTATCTTGCTCAAAATTATTTTCCTGTTAATGAAAGCAGGAAACAAAAAGACGACCTCTGGCAACCAGGTTGACTGGGAAAACAATTCTTGCTGCTGCTGCCACAGATTCTGCAGGTTGTCACCATGATTCTATACTCTCTTTGGCTTCTGTAAAATTGAACCAAAGACTTCTTATATCAAGCAGCAGAGATGGAGCTATAAAGGTTTGGAAGTAAAGGTCCTTCTATGATGCTAATTTATCTGTACAAATTTGTATGGAACTTCAATGGGAAAAAAATGTACATAATTTATAATTATCATAGAAAGACAGCTGAGCATTTCAGATATATTTTTCCCCAATTTCTGTACAGTGTAACAGTGGGTTAAATTATCAAAAGTATATTTGCCAAGTTGCTGCTACTCCTTTCACTCAGAACTGTGCTTGCTATGCAGTAGTAATATGGCTTATAGTTTGAGAATGCTTTTTATGTTTTTTCTATTGCCAGGAATAGGGTCTCTTTATTCTTTTTTGTATGTTTATTTATTTTGTGGCCTTGTTTATCATTTGAGCTGTTCCGCTACTATGTTACACTGGGTAACAATCTTATTTCACTTGAATACTGAAATGACCTTAATTAAACACACCTGGGGATGTCAAAACAATCCTCTAAAGTTCACAGGAGGTACCCTAAACTCTACGGGTCATGCAGGCTCGGTTAGGACTTGACGTTTCCAAACTCAAACGTTTATGCAGTAGATGTTCAACGGATGGCTGTAACCAAGGTTGAGTATGAGTTCGGAGAGTTCCGAACCGTTCTAGGAATTCGAACCTAATCTGAATCGAAAAATAACCGTTGATTATTTTGATTTCCTCCGAATCGAACTTGAAGTGAATAAGATTGCACTTGGGCTCCTTCAACTCGGACGACCACCGAACCTGCAAGAACCCAACGCCGGGAGGGGTCCCGGCGTCGTACCTCTGACGCTCAAGTCAGTATCACTCCAAATCTCCAGAGTATAATTATGAATGTAGAGAGAGTGTGAGAATGGGATACCTTAGCCCCCTTTTATAGAGGGAGTGTACCTTATGGCCCAAGTTGGGCTTGTCCATAGCCTTACGCCACGTGTCCTAGCCATGTGTAGGCTTATTCTTCAACATATTCCCTTTTTATCCATTAAAACCGGTCCAGTATAATATCCTATATCATCTAGTCCCCCTCACTCTGGTCGAGTCTGAATGACTCGATCTAAGAGTGAAATTCTTCTTCGGGCTGTTTCCGTTAACCTGCCATTGAGCTTATAATTTGAATAAATTCTCGACCACCAAATAGTCACCAAACCTCCAAATGAGCATCGGGACCCCAAATGAACAACGAATGGCCACTAAGGTCAAAAACTGGAAGACCCGCTACTGAGGTCGAATACTGAAAGCTGATCGACCACCGAGGTCGAAAATCGAGTGACCTGCCACTGGGGTCGAATACCGAAAGCTGATCGACCACCGATGTCGAAAACCAAGTGACCCGCCGATGGGGTCGAACACCGAAAGTTGAACAACCACTGAGGTCGAAAACCAAGAGACTCGCCCCTAGGGTCGAATACAGAAAGCTGATCGACCACCGAGGTCGAAAATCGAGTGACTCGCCACTGGACCACCGAGGTCGAAAACCGAGTGACCCGCCACTGGGGTCGAATACCGAAAGCTGATCGACCACCGAGGTCGAAAACCGAGTGACCCGCCGATGAGGTCGAAAAACAAGAACTGAATGACCGTTCCTCAAAATCTTGAATTTGAAAATTTGAACTTATGTATATTGTATTTAGATCACCATGTTTGAACTCTCTTAGACCACCTCGTCCTATCGCCCCCCAGTTCAAAATCTAAAATTCGAGCATGTTGTATATTCTCTCAAAATCCGAATGACCTTCGTGAACTGCTCTGAATGAACTCCCTCGACCTGCCACCGAGGTCGAAAAATAAATTCGACGAAACCAAGAATCAAATAAAGATAATCGACCTGCCACCGAGGTCTGCTCGAGCTATCCGTAATGAACTTCATCTCCCTTCTTTTGAAGTCGAAAAATAAATTCGACGAAACCAAGAATCAAATAAAGACAATCGACATGCCACCGAGGTCTACTCGAGCTATCCGTAATGAACTCCATCTCCCTTCTTTTGAAGTCGAAAAATAAATTCGACGAAACCAGGAATCAAATAAAGATAATCGACCTGCCACCGAGGTCTGCTCGAGCTATCCGTAATGAACTCCATCTCCCTTCTTTTGAAGTCGAAAAATAAATTCAACAAAACCAAGAATCAAATAAAGATAATCGACCTGCCACCGAGGTCTGCTCGAGCTATCCGTAATGAACTCCATCTTCCTTCTTTTGAAGTCAAAAAATAAATTCGACGAAACCAAACTCCAATAAAGATCATCGACCTACCACCGAGGTCTGCAATAGGATCCATGTCTTCACCGACCCAACGCTAGGATCGACCACCCAGCCCGAAGGCCTTAATCATGGTGGATTTTGTCTTCAAGCACTTGCCCACGCACTCTGAGGAATGTTCGAAACAGGAGGCCACCCAGCCCGAAGGTGAGGGCTTTTTCGACCAACCTGCCCATCCCAAGGGGTGTACAAAACAAGCGACCACCCAGCCTGGAGGCCTTAGTCATGGTGGATTTTGTCTTCAGTCACTTGCCCACCCAATCCGAGGAATGTTCGAAACAGGAGGCCACCCAGCCTGAAGGCGAGGGCTTTTTCGACCAACCTGCCCATCCCAAGGGGTGTACAAAACAAGCGACCACCCAGCCTGGAGGCCTTAGTCATGGTGGATTTTGTCTTCAGGCACTTGCCCACCCAATCCGAGGAATGTTCGAAACAGGAGGCCACCCAGCCCGAAGGCAAGGGCTTTTTCGACCAACCTGCCCATCCCAAGGGGTGTACAAAACAAGCGACCACCCAGCCCGGAGGCCTTAGTCATGGTGGATTTTTTTCTTCGAACTGCTCGAACACTTCGACCTGCCACGGAGGTCGACAAGGAAACACACCAAAGACCACGAGACGGAATAGTAATCGATCATTTTCGTTAGTCTCATCAAATGCATAGTTATATCGAACAAGATAAAAAAAATCAAGCGTTTTTTCGACCTTCCTTTCATGTCTGTACACGACGACCTGAGTTGTTGTTTTCTCCATGTTTCCCACTCCTCACCATAGCCAATATCCAGGTCACCTGCTCATGCATTTTCCTCGACAATAATTCAACAGATTCCATTAGTTGCATTTTATCCACATCATCCAATTTGCAATCTCGATAGCAATAATAACAAAAGACGAATGAATCAAAGCAATCATATTGGTCCACATGCTTTTATACCACACCACAATCTACATGCAAATCTCTTTACCACGATATGAAATCGCATAAACACCCATTCAAATGTATAGTCGACCAGAATTTCGCAAAACCATGAATTCGACAAGCAATTACAACAAACCATACTCTGCAGCTACGATCAATCATTAAATGAATGCACCAAACAAAAATTCGAATGAGTTATTCTCAATACCGAGCTCCTTAGTCATGACGACTCAAGACTGGCCAGCCCGAAGGCCTTAGTCATGCTAGAGTTTTGTTCGAGACTCCACATACACCTCATTTTCTGTATTTTGTTAATCACCTGAATAATAATGCTAAACATATCCATATACACCATAGTATCAGCAACATTTCACCGAAAATATTCAAACAATGAACATTTCTTCCAGAAAAGAATGCTAAGAGACTCCATATGTCACAAAATAGTGTCAGTCGATCTTGACCATCCACACGAGTTGAAATTAATTTTATACCTGAAGGTCGAAAATGCCACTCCCAATTATTCTACCTCTCCAAAAGAGAATGATTTCTGCCTCTGAAATTTTCACCTGCGATCGGCACCATCCACACTCGTCCCTCATTATCACCTTGCTTTGATGGATCCATGCTCGCTCATTTTGTCCTCGAAACTCCACAACTCGTCCACCATAGCTTGTCGAGACTCGGGTTATTTCGATGTTTCCTCGACAAGAATTCAAAGAGATATCGTTATCCATATTATATTCACGTCATCTATTTTGCAATTCTCCACGCAAGAAAAACAAGAGATCATATACAATCATCACCATCTCCTCGATTTAAGACATGCTCGAGCAATGACATGCTTACAAACTATGAATAATCAATTCAAACACAATCACAAGATATCCGCAATCCGAAACCACGACCCGCATTTATTTTCAATCAAATAAATTCTCCTCGAATAAATCAGATAATATCTCCACGAATAAGTCAAACAATATCTCCACGAGCAAATCAAATAATTCCACGATCAAATCGAATATCAACACGAACAAATCAAATATCCTCAGGAATAAATCACATAGTTCTCCATAAATACTCCAAATAATATCTCCTTGACCAAATCAAATAATATCGACGAATAAATCACATAATCTCCTCGAGTAAATCAAATTATGCTCCACAAATAAATCTAATAATATTCCACCAAATCAAATAGGCTCCACGGATAAATCAAACAATTTTGCCCGAGCAAATCAAATATATTCTCCACGAATAAACCAAATAAACTCCACAAATATATCAAATATTCTCCACGAATATATCAAATAAACTCCACGAATATATCAAATAAACTTTATGAATATATCTAAACTCCATGAATATATCAAATATTCTCCTCAAATAATATCTAATTTTCACCCATTGAAAAATCCTCAAGCCTCCACATTTTCCAATTTAAATCAAACAATTTCTCCAATTTCACCAATTTAAAAATCCCTTGAGTCCATAATTTAAAAGAGCGTCGTACCTTCATCACAATAATGCTACCTAAATTTACCTTCCCCACCGCGTTAAATCCTCCCGAATTAGTCTTGGGCATGAATTGGGGCTGTTAGACTAAGCCGGTAGCACCCTGGACCGCTCTGGAGGGTTTTTTACACCAAATGGGCCTCATATAAGGCGCTGGACCGCGGTTGGACGCCAAATGGGCCGCTGTACACCGCAAGTGGGCCGTGCATAGGGAAGCTGGGGAATTGGGCTGGCTGCGGGTCACATGCGGGATGGAAACATTGCTGAAGGACGCGGGCTGGACGGGCTTCTCGCGGGCCATAAACTGTGAAGTACGCGGGCTGGGTGCGGCCCGCGTGATTTTCCACTCCTTCGGGCTGGCGCGAACTGGGCCATCATGGTGTTAATGGGCCGTGGACACTGGGCTTATCTCCTGCTGTGGACGACCAGGCCTCGCCATCTCTCGGGCCTCCCTCCTGGGCTGCGAACACTGGGCCTTGTCTCCAGGCCACTCCTCGTTGGGCCACGCGCAGAGAGCAGACCCACGCCATGGCCGAGCTGCG